AAAAAGGGAGGGAAAAAGGTTTCAAAAAAAAAAAAGGAAGGGAAAAAAGAAAATGATAAGAAAAGGAAACAAAAAAGAGAGGGAAAGATGGGTGTACCAGTACCACTGTACCGTGTAGTGTAAGTGAGGTGAGATGTCCGGCCTTTGAAGAAAAATGGAGGGAAAAAGTTTTCAAAAAAAAAAAGGGGACGGAAAAAAGAAAATGATAAGAAAAGGAAACAAAAAAGAGAGGGAAAGATGAGATATGCATCATACGAAACTAAGTTCAACGATCCAACCATCAAACATGTTTGTATATGTTTAGAGATCGTATACGCTAAAAATTGCAAAAAACCCAAACATTCAGAGATCAAGTAACGGGACAAAACTTTTCGACGGTTATAAACGAAAAATCACGATTTAACGATTATTTTAACTTCGATTTTGATAATTTTTTACAGTTACACTCCTTAACCCTATATAAATACAATGAATGAACTTGATCTTCAATTTAAAATATTTACACTAGTGGATACCACAAAATCTTATGTTATACTTAATGAAAGTATACATAAACTCTTAAGTATTAGTGAATCTATTGCTTTTATGAGATACGCATTCTACAAAACTAGTTTCAACGATCCAACCGTTAAACATGTTTGTATATACTTCGAGATCACATACACCAAAAATTGAAAAAAAAACAAACATTACGAGACCAAGTAACGGGACAAAACTTTTCAACAGTTATAAACGAAAAATCACAATTTAACGGTTATTTTAACTCCGATTTTGATGATTTTTTATAGCTACACTCCTTGACCCTATATGAATACAATGAATGAACTCGATCTTCAATTTAAAATATTTACAATAGTGGATACCACAAAATCTTATGTTATACTTAATGAAAGTATGAATAAACTCTTAAATATTAGTGAATCTATTGTTTTTATGGGATACGCATTCTACGAAACTAATTTCAACGATCTAACCGTCAAACATGTTTGTATATACTTCGAAATCACATACGCCAAAAATTGAAAAAAAAAACAAACATTAAGATATTAAGTAACGGGACAAAACTTTTCGACGGTTATAAAACGAAAAATCACGATTTAACGGTTATTTTAACTCCGATTTTGATGATTTTTTACAGCTACACTCCTTGACCCTATATGAATACAATGAATGAACTCGATCTTCAATTTAAAATATTTACAATAGTGGATACCACAAAATCTTATGTTATACTTAATGAAAGTATGAATAATTTCTTTAACTATTAGTGAATCTATTGTTTTTATGGGATACGCATTCTACGAAACTAGTTTCAACGATCCAACCGTCAAACATGTTTGCATATACTTCGAGATCACATACACCAAAAATTAAAAAAAAACAAACATTAAGAGATCAAGTAACGGGACAAAACTTTTCGACGATTATAAAACGAAAAATCAGGATTTAACCGTTATTTTAACTCTGATTTTCATGATTTTTTACAACTACACTCATTGACCCTATATGAATACAATGAATGAACTCGATCTTCAATTTAAAATATTTACAATAGTGGATACCACAAAATCTTATGTTATACTTAATGAAAGTATGAATAAACTCTTAAGTATTAGTGAATATATTGTTTTTATGGGATACACATTCTACGAAATTAGTTTCAACGATCCAACCGTCAAACATGTTTGTATATACTTCGAGATCACATACGCCAAAAATTGAAAAAAAAAAACATTAAGAGATCAAGTAACGAGACAAAACTTTTCGACAGTTATAAAACGAAAAATCACGATTTAACGGTTATTTTAACTCCAATTTTGATGATTTTTTACAGCTACATTCCTTGACCCTATATGAATACAATGAATGAACTCGATCTTCAATTTAAAATATTTACAATAGTGGATACCACAAAATCTTATATTATACTTAATGAAAGTATGAATAAACTCTTAAGTATTAGTGAATCTATTGTTTTTATGGGATACGCATTCTACGAAATTAGTTTCAACGATTCAACTGTCAAACATATTTGTATATACTTCGAGATCACATACACCAAAAATTGAAAAAAAATCAAGCATTAAGAGATCAAGTAACATGACAAAACTTTTTGACGGTTATAAAACGAAATATCACGATTTAACGGTTATTTTAACTCCGATTTTGATGATTTTTTACAGCTACATTCCTTGACCCTATATGAATACAATGAATGAACTCGATCTTCAATTTAAAATATTTACAATAGTGGATACCACAAAATCTTATATTATACTTAATGAAAGTATGAATAAACTCTTAAGTATTAGTGAATCTATTGTTTTTATGGGATACGCATTCTACGAAACTAGTTTCAACGATTCAACTGTCAAACATATTTGTATATACTTCGAGATCACATACGCCAAAAATTGAAAAAAACAAACATTAAGAGATCAAGTAACGAGGCAAAACTTTTGTCAATTATAAAACGAAAAATCACGATTTAACGGTTATTTTAAATCTGATTTTGATGATTTTTTACAGCTACACTCCTTGACCCTATATGAATACAATGAATGAACTCGATCTTCAATTTAAAATATTTACAATAGTGGATACCACAAAATCTTAAGTTATATTTAATGAAAGTATGAATAAACTCTTAAGTGTTAGGGAATCTATATATTAAATTAAAGGGCAAAAGACTGTTTACTACCCTTATGTTTCGTGGTTTTCAACATTTAGTACATCAAGTTTTTTTAGTCCCAGAGTCATACCTAAAGTGTAAATTTTGGGACAGTCTCATACATCTGTTAGTCAAACTGTTAAGTCTGCCGTTAGTGACGTGGCGCCCATGTGGACAATGACTGGACGCCACGTGTCATCCAGGTGGAAATTAAAAAAAAAATATATATATATATATTATAAAATAATAAATAAATAAATATAAAAAAAAAACGTTTTTTTTTTTTTTTCTTCTTCCTCCTTCCTTTTCCTTCTTCTTCTTCTTCCTTTGAATTTGGGTAGCAGATTCGTTTTTTTTTTTTTTTTTCCTTTCTTTCTTCTTCCTCCTTCCTTCTCCTTCTTCTTCTTCCTTCTTCCGAATCTGCCCATTTTTTTTTTCTTCTTCTTCTTCCTCCTTCTTCCTTCTCCTTCTTCTTCTTCTTCGAATCTGCCCAGTTTTTTTTTTCTCTTCTTCTTCCTCCTTCCTTCTCCTTCTTCTTCTTGTTCTTCCTTCTTCTTCTTCTTCTTCTTCCGAATTTGCCCAGATTCGGTTTTTTATTTTTTTTTTATTTTTTTTTATAATATATATATATATATATATATATTATTTTATAATTTTTTTTTTTAAATTTCCACATTAATGACACGTGGTGCCCAGTCATTGGCCACATGGGCGCCACGTCATAGTTAACGGCAGACTTAACAGCTTGACTAACGGATGTATGAGACTGTCCCAAAATTTACACTTTAGTTATGACTCTAAGACGAAAAAAATTGATGTACTAAATGTTGAAAACCACGAAACATGAGAGTAGTAAACAGTCTTTTGCCCTAAATTAAATTTAAAATTTTGATTAGTAGGGTATGAATGTTTTTTTATTAAGCTCTTATTTTCGAGTATAGATGTAGCACTTAAACGATAAATGTGTTTTAATATTTTGAAGTAATATTTATGTGGCAATGTGTGGTATGTGCAAATTTAAGAAAAAAATATATTTTTCTTAACGGGTCATAACAGGTCAGGTCACTTTACCCGTTCCTGTTAAGGACCCGTTAAGATAACAGGTGTGACACGACACAACTCGTTAAGATAACAGGTGTTACACAAAAACGACACGAACACGACATACACGATCCGTTTGCTAGGCCTACTTCAACCTAGACCGTTCATACCAGTCTGTTGCGCGCCTCACCATCCACCCACGTTGTCGCAGTAACTAGAAACCCGAAACATGACCTCCTGCAACCAGCCTCTGTAAACCTGTCCTCCCTCTGTTTCAAAAATCTGATCGAAGTCAAGATCCTGACTCACATTCCGCTGCTGCTCCGAAGTCAGGATCCCGACTCGCATTCCGCTGCTGCTCTAGACCATGTCACACCTGATCCGTCGCCATCCTTGTTGCACCGCTTCTATCCCACATCACTGCAATCAGTCATCGCCGCCGCTGTCCACCATCACCCATTGCCAGACCCGCCTGAATAACCGCATCTGACCCATCTCTGTCAAGCCGTACCAGATCCTCTTGCACCACTGTATCCACTGTATGCACACGCCCGTTGAATCCACTGCACACGCAATTGTATTGTTTGTTCTGGAGAAAACCACTGGCCAGAAAGAAAGGTTGAAGGGAAGGAGAAAAGAAAACCGACGAAAAAATAAACAGAAAAAAAGAGGAGAAAAAAAAAAGAAAAGAAAAATCTTTTGCTGTTGCTTTAGGCCCACATGGGCAAAGGGAAAAATGGTTTAGTTTGTTTTTAGGTCCACACGAGTTGTTAGCTTATTTGAGATTGTTTTGTGACCGTCAGTCGAGTGCTTGGAATTGTGATCATTTAAGTGATAGTGTTTGTGTTTGTACGTTCGTTGCTACAATTGAGATATGAAAATCTCGTCTGTTTAGTGACGAGTTCAATGACGGGTTCTTTCTATACCATTAACACTAGTCAGTCTGAATCAGAATCAGTTTGCCAATTTAATTCGCCAGTCAAGTCAAGTCAAGTCAAGTTTGCCTGTTTGTCTGTCTGCGTTGCGGAACCTGCCTGTCTGGCTATCCACATTGCGGATCCTGTCTGTCTATCCGCGTTGCAAAGCCTGCCTGTCTGTCCGCGTTGTGGAGCCTGCATCCACATCTACTTGTTGGCAAACTCATGTTGTTTACCGCTATGAGTTTGACGGGGAGTGTTAGAAAATAATAGATTTGGGATTTGGGCTCAGTCCGTTATAATTAGGTTTTGTTAGATATTAAGGTTAGTTTATTATAAATAGAGTGCTTTGTTATTCATTAAAGATCAAGTTAGTCACAATGTAGCCTCTTAAGATTTTGTAACCGTTTCGGCATTTTCGTTTGTTTAATAATATTCGTATTAATTTGTAGTATTGGTTATCGTGCACTCTGATATTTAACAAGTAGGACGTATATATAGTGCTCTCTCTTTATATCAATCAATTCTACTTGGGTTTCCGCTTCGCCAATTTAGATGTAGAGACCTCAAAACTTCTCTTAAAAGAATTGGTGCTCCCTTGTGAATCTCGTAGAGCTTGCTCCAACACCTCTACCACCTGACTCATGGTTGGCCGGTCCTTTGAGTTATTGTTCAGACAGCTATCGGCCAACTTGGCAACATTCTGAGCTGCAGTAAGAGAATACTGGTCTCTTAGTAGGGGATCTATTACCATGCTGAACCTTTTACTGTCTGCAGGGAACTGTCTAACCCAGTAAAGAAGCTTTTGTTCTGATATGGGGCGGTTCTTGTCTAAGACACGCCTGCCTGTTAGGATCTCGTACAGTACCACACCAAAACTCCATAAGTCACAACTGATTGAAAGATGGCCTGTTTTTAAATATTCTGGGGCTGCGTATCCATAAGTCCCCACCACCTGATGGATAGAGTATGCATAAGTGATAATTCTAGAACATAAACAGAGAATTAAAATTTAAACGGCGAATCCATGCTTCTTCCAAACACACAATGCACTTCAAAGAAGATTGTGGCCACCGTTGAATGGGGAAACCAAGGCCGCGTTTGGACAACGAGACTATACAGGGTAAATTCATTTAAAATGGACAAGCACAGTCTTCTTGCCGCACGTGTGAACTCAATAATAATGGGACTAGACTACCAAATTGAATGACTGTCGAATATAATCATAGACAACAAGTCCCCTCTATAGGGATCGGTCCCCATGAGACTAGACTGGACTCAGTCCCAATCCAGTCTGATGTTCCAAACGATGCACAACAGAATTCCGTTAGTAGTTCAAGAACAAAATTCAAATGAAACTAAGGTGTAAAGAACTTGCGTCGTATCTTGAAAAAAATTGGAACTATACTCTATACTATGAAATGTACTGGGACAACTAACTTGGGTGGAACTAAGGATGCTTTTGACATGATATGTCATACGAGCCACAGAATAAGCTGCTAATGCAACCTGTAAAGATGCCACTATATATGTAGCTGCTGGTATAGCGTGGCCCAGAATTATGAGGGTCAGTTTTGGGACTCTAGACCCTAATTTTACACACAATGGGAAACACACTCAAATAAATTGTCTATGACTAGTGACTACTCTACTTACCGAGGTTGATACATGAGAACGGTCACCCGTTGGTCCTTCTCTAGCAAGCCCGAAGTCTGAGAGCTTTGGCCTGAATTCCTCATCCAATAGCACATTTGAAGATTTGAAATCTCGATATATTACCTGTCCATATAATGCAATAAAACATGGTTCAATACATGTATTAATAAGACCTTGTCTTGTACAAAGTATAAAATCATCATGTGACCGGTCAGCAGGTTTATCCTACGCATTTACAAACAAATTCTGCAACATTTGGATTGCAAGAAGTAAAATCAGAAGACGAGAATTTTTATTTAAACCTACAAGTGAAGCTTTGCACCACCACCATTGAAGAAAAGGAAAGCATCTGCACAGTTTCTAGTGGTGAGAATTTTTTGTTTCCCTTGAAATGACTCAAATCTAGCAGTGAATTTTCTTGGTTTTCATTTAACAGCAATAGTCCATACTACGTGTTTTCTACACATTTTATAGCGACGGGCATTTTCGTTTCCTCTGAAACGACCTGAATCTAGCAGCACATTTCTTCGTTAATTTACCAGCACTAGTCTTCATATTTTCTATAACTGTACCAGCACTAGTCTTTAAGTTCCGAAAGCAGAGACAACAGCTTGTAATTAGATAACAGTAAATAAACGCATCATCAAAATGTGCAGTCGCGACTCACAGTTCAAATCCACCGCCGGTTAAATTAACATATCCAAAACCAAAAGGTTGGCAAAGAGGAGCCCCATGTTCAAAAGATATCGAATTTTAAGTTGCGCAAAAAAAAAAAATGGCAAGCAACAGCATAGTCAAATCAGAAAAATGCACAGAGAGTATATGCACCTGGACTTCGAGTCCCTTGTGTAGATAAGCCAATCCTTGAGCAGCACCAAGCATTATCTTTAATCTTGTCATCCAAGGCAATGCAGGCAAAGCCCTGTTGAAAAGATGATCTTCTAAGCTTCTATTAGGCATAAATTCATACACCAACAGCCTTTGTATCCCTCTCTCTCCATCTAAACAACAGTACCCTAGAAGTTTTACCAAATTCGGGTGATTTACGACGCCAAGAAATTGAACTTCTGCAAGCCATTGCTTATGACCCTGTTTGAGAAAAGTTAATAACCATAAGTAAAACTAGATGTGAGGTAGATATAATGGCGGTAAAATGTGAAATTTAAATGAAAATTATATTTATTGAAGAAATATTTTTAGAACCTGTAAACTATGAGGGTTTAACTTCTTGATGGCAACCCAAATCGGACTGCCCGTTCCTCCATCGGAAGGCCTGATTGCTGCTTTATAAACCCTCCCAAAACCTCCTTCCCCGAGCTTAAGCGACCTGCTGAAACCATTTGTTGCTTCCCTCAGCTCTTGGAAGGAGAAAACTCTTAAATTATGCTCCCTTTCTTTGTACAATTCTGGTATGCTCTTTGGAGATGGCAATGAACTCGAAGATTTTGTCGCGCGATCCAAAGCCGGATTGCTTGGATTGCTTTTGTTTCTCAATTCTGGAGCGGATTGCGATACTTCTTTTTTGCTCTTGCGTTTTCCTTGAAGGGAAAGAAACACTTCATTTCTTTATTCCTTGGGTTGCAAGGTCTGCACAAAATCAGCAGCCTCAACACCTCAAATCAAATGGGATATGTGGAGTTGAAAAAATGGTAGCTTGACTTCATTAAAGAGAAGATCCAGTTGGAATATATATATATATATATATAGAGAGAGAGAGAGAGAGAGAGAGAGAGAAAGGAAAACTCAGATGGATGGAAACTGAAGGAAATGAAGCAAAAAAAAGGAAAACCCAGCTTTTACCAAAAAAAAAAAGGGAAAACCCAGTTGGAAATTGGAAAAAGAGACAAACCCATATCAGAATTTGAAGTGAAAGGAGTGGTTGACCTAAAGACAAAAAGATATGGAATCTCAATTCCTAGTTTTGGAGAGAGAGAGAGGCGTGTCTGGAACGAAATATGGAACAGGGATGAAAGGGACAGGACTATTTTTCTATCTATTTTCTTGGTTTAATTCAACTCGGCTGAGCAGATTCAGCAGACATATCAGAAACAGTTAGTTGACCACAAATTATTCCTCATTCATAAAGAAAAGTCATTAACGGTATTTAATTACTTAATTAATTTAATACGAAGTATGAATTAGGTTGTGTTGGTTTAATTAATCTTCAATCTCGTCTCATGTCCCACGCGGTTTGCTTTCTGTCCTGCGTGGATATGAAACAATAATAGAGATAGTGGTGCTGATGCCGGTTTTTTTGCCAGCGTTACGTCGGTACGGAGCCACCGTTCACATTCATGAGCCAACTGCTGTTGGTTTCGCATGCAAAAGCAATTGAAGTCGGTTTGCGCGCGTCACGACTCACCACTGAGGGAGTGGGGAATTCAGAACAAAATTCTTAATTTTAGGAGTGTTTTGTGTTCAGATTGTCGAGAGCATCAATTCCACGTAGGAAAAATAAAAATTGCCTACGCTGTGGAGCAAAAAATAATCACAAGGCAACATGTGAATTTTGGGTTAAAGGGACAAAATTACTTTTGAGGTATACCGGGATTCCTACGCACGAGCAATGGGCAATCAATCCCCAACTAAGTCAAAATTGCCCAAAATAGGTAATAATTCAAAACCTATCTCATCCATTCTCATCAAATCTTCCCAACAAGGTAACTCCAAAATTATTTCTTTCAAATTATGTTAATTAGTCAATTAATGGATTTATTACCTAATTAATCTATTAATGGCTAATTAACTACAAATTACACCCAAAAAATACCCCAAATGGCCGGTCCCTATTCTCCTAATAGGGCCGGCCATATCTCTATAAATAGCTCTCCATTCTCTCCAAAAACGACTTCCAAGTCTCTTGCTAAAATTCTCTAAAATTCTCAAACACTTTCTCTTTAAATTCTAACTTTGGCATCGGAGGTTCTTCGGCCAAAGCCCCCCATTCATCGGGGGCGCGTGAGGCTTTTGGCCTTGACCAAAGGTGTTAATTGTTTTGTAAGTGCAATTTTGTCCAAGATCAAGGAGGAAGAAATTTCCATCCACAAATTGGTGCTTTCAATGAGAGTTGAGTCCCACACTCGTATAAGACTCTCGCATCCAAGGTTTTCTATTTTCTTGTCCATTTGTAGATTTTTCGTAAGTTCTTATTTTAGAATTTTTTATTTGCAAAAATTCTTTGATAAAACGTAAAAGAAACAATGGCTAGAAATTTAAAAAATTTAACGAGTGAAAATTCCAATATTCAAGAGATGGGACCGCGGCGATCCACGAGGTTAAATGTGACAATAAATGGAGTGGCACCGCCACCACGAGTTTCCACCACGGGAACCACCGCGGTGGCCACCCACGACAAGGTCCATGGTGTCACCACCACAACCCGAGCTGTGCCATCCAAGGCCCACGACACCAAAGCCACGGCCCAAGCCATGTCACTCCAAGCCCAACGTGTTGCTAAGCCGAGCCCTAGCCTCGTACCCACGTGCGCCACACGCCGAGTAACCCACTTCTATGGCTCAGCCTCCTCCCGTGGCCCAACCTGCTCCTGCTGTCCAGTCTGCTCTTGTGGCCTTCTAAGCAGCCCAGATCGATTCAAGATTAGTTCAACCATCCCAGCTTCAAATTTCCGGATCGACGATCGAACCAGGAGCATTTTCACCACATTTTTCTGCTGATTTAACATTTCCCAACTCAAATCTCATGCCCGCAGTTTACCACACATCCACTACTCAAGAAGGCATATTCTTTCCAAGCTTTTCCAATCCAAATGGCGAACAACACTTGTCTCGACAAGTCATAGAGTTGACGAACGCCCTTGCACAATAGACAACCTTGGTGAATCAACTCTTGCAACGTATCGAGATTCAATGTGCCCTGGACGAGGTGTCCCAAAGAAGGACAAGGGTAGACGAACCTCTCCACCAGCGTCCCAGCAAGTAGCCATTTAACCAGTCACGAACCAAGCGTTTTAATGGAGTACACTCTCAACTGGACCCCGAGATAGCGTATACTCTCGTCTTAGCGCGTGAAGGAGCGTGCACTCTCAGTTAGGCCCACATACGAACATACACTCACAGTTGGGGCCAGACAACATGAGCAACCTTTTAGGCCAAGTGTTCATTCGCGACAAGGTCTGCAAGGAGCATCATCCACCTCATATCGGAGTAGGCAGCATAGTGGATGGAGAGAAGCAGTCACTCAATCTGGCTTAAGTTCAACCAGCAGCCTACGAGTTACCCGCTTACCTGGTAGGAACATACCACATGCACCGCATCCGCGACATAGGCGAGTCAAACACATGGAAAAACAGCTTAAACTAGCAGGTTATGATCGGGGGCAGTCAAAAGCTCTGCCACCCCTAACAAAGGCAAATTCAGGAAGAAGTAGAAAGGCTCCTGACCGAGCGACTACGCGATTTCCCGCGTAATGAAGCTATTGACAAGGCGCTCCAATGAGACATTACCAATATAAGCAAGTCATCTTTCAATGACAAGATCGAGCAAACAGGATTACCCCACATAGATTGTCGGATATAAAGATTACTTATGTTCTGAAAAACGCAGTGTTGGAAGTATGCCCACAAAGCCACTCATTTGATGTAATAGCTTTTTGGAATACTTATTATGTTAAACTTTTATATGTTTAATGGAGGGCAAATCTTATTGTTAATCACTGTTTATTGTATCATGTGTTTAAGCAATAAGTGAATCCAAGGAATGTATTTGTTCTAAGAGATAAGTGATCTAAGTGAGTTAGATTATCGAGACCTTTCTCTTATGTTCATTCCTAAAACGTTCCTAGCCATAGGATTGCCAATTGGGCATTGACAATCCGTTAAGGTTAGTATGTGTTATGTTGACTCAAGTGTGAGTATGACTAGTCTCAAGTGATTTGGTGTTGGACACTAAGACAGACACATAGGTGCTCGAAATAGTAATCGAGTACACTGAACTACGATCAAATCAGAGTTTGAACATACATGTCATGTAAGAACTCTAAGGTTGCAATATGCAAAGTAGTCCTTTGACCTGAGGCATCATAGATGTCTAATGGTTAGGTCCTTGATCTTTGATCCTGTCAACGGCATTCCCTCGGAGTGTTCACGGCATTGTTGGGGTCAAGCTATCTAGTCATGTAGGCATATGAATGTACAACAAGGGATCTCTAACCTTCCATGGTGGAGGGGAGAATACTCTAAGATATGATTCTAAAGTCTTTGGCCAAAGCAAATGAATATGACTAAAGGAAGGTTGTTCCAAATCATATTCAAGGGAATCATATAAGAAAGAATCACATTGGATAGTAGACATGAAACAAACTATCACTTAAACAATGTGATTAAGAGTATTGTATTAGAGAAGGACCGTATTGCATTGTAGTTGTAACTGGATAGGTTCTCCAACCAATTCTACTTAGCTTGGGTAACCATGACATGTTGCTAGGCGTCAACCATGGTTTGTGGAAGCCCTAATGGTTAGCAAACACTAATCAATGAAAGGGAGAATTGAAATTGAAATGTGGTTTCAATTCATAATCGATAGTTAAAAGTAACATCGCCCACTGCCTCGCTAATTAGAACCTAATGGATCGTACACCGAGTAAGGATGTATGTGAAGAAATCAAATGAAATGGATAAGCAATTAAATGGTTTAATTGAAGAATGGTCAAGATTAATTAATTAGTTAATTAATTATACGAAAGGTTCGTATTGGGCTTATATGTTGGTTTTGGGTTTCGGGGCCCAAAAGCGTTTTGGTCCAAAAGGCCCATTATGTTTAAGTTGTATGACAACTAAAACAAAATGGGCAAATAGCCCAATAACACCAAGGAGGCCGGCCATTAGGGTTGGATGGGCAAAGTTTGCTTAATTGCAAGTTGCCACTCACCAAAGAAATGAAGTATAAATTCAACTTTATAGCTTTAGGGTTTGGTATGTTGAAATTTGATGAGACATTTTTCTCTCTATTTTCTTCTAAGAGGCCGGCCATTAAAGGAAGAAAACATCTAGCAATTTCTTCTTCTTTTAATCATCCATATCATCTTCACAAGATACAACCTTGGTGAAGAGACTTAGAGACATCAAGCTTTTGGTGTTTTGGAGAACAAATCCTTTTTCCTCAAATCATCAAAGGAGCACAAAAGGGAAGAAAACACAAGAAGGATTCAAGGAGCTTGGAGGTGACTTGAAGGCCCTCCACTTGGGTGAATCCCTTGTGTAAACAAGGATGAGCTTCAAGGGTAAAGAATCACTAAATTCTTCTTTCTCTTTAATGTTGTTAAAGAGTTCATTTTGGTTCACCATATACTAGGCTTTGAAAGTCATGGGTTTTATTGAATTGTTTTTGGATGCATGCCTATATTAATGAGTTAATAGTATGCATATGTATTCAAATGTTCATACTTGTTCTTAGCTAGGACAAAATTTTTCCTTCAAGTGGTATCAGAGCCTAGGCCTAGTTTATGGTGAATCCTTTTGGGTTTTGTGACTTTCATATTTTGTGATTTAAATGTTGTAAATGTTACAAGCTTTGTTCTTGCTTTTGAATTTATAAATTTTGCTAGAAAATTTAGCATCTCAAATGTTGTAGATGCATTTCATTTAAGCATGAATATTGGAACTAAAATTTGGTGCCATGTGTTTTGGGAAATTCGGCCAAATCCAAAGGGTGATTTTTTTGGGTTCATGTTTGTCTTTTTAAAATGGTTTTAAAGTGACTTTTGGAACCCCTAAGTACCCTAGG